CTCTAGGTCTGTGTCTCTATCACTTGCCGTGGTCAGTCGCCACACAATTCTTTGGCGTGGCTAGGCAAGAACCTTAGACATTACAGTATGGATGGTAAGACTCCAGCAGAAAGATATTGGCAAGTGTTAGAGGAAAAGAGAAAATTTTATCTGAAAGTGTTATGGAAATCTCCAGAAGAAGGACAGTGGAAGGTCCAGTGGATTTACTGACAGGGGAAGAGGGTATGCTTGTGTGTTTACAGGAGATGGACAAACTGCGTGGGTGCCCTCAAGATGCATGCGAACATGGAACAGGAACAGGAGATTGCAAGAACCCAGAGTGGCCAACTATGGGCACGGTCCCTCCGGTACAACCTATGAACCAGCTGAGACTGAGTGCAAAGACAAAGAGAAGGCTGACCAGAGTCATGACACGGTTCTAATGCTATGTTTTCTGTAAAATCGGATTAACTGCCATTTGGAGAATGAGAGCTGCCCAGCCAGGCCTTACATTCTTTCAATTAATACATAAACAAAAAGGGGGATATGCAGGGAGCAGAAGGTCCATGGGAAGTGACCAACTCAGTATTCTGCTGGAGGCTATATGAGCAAACAGCAAACTGTTTAGCATGAATGCAGGCTGCGGGCAAACTCACACTCCCCTGACGCCAAAATGTTTGCTGAGGGCCATCACTCCCTGGTGCCAGGCTCCTTGAAGTTATCTACTGAGAAAATTAACGCCTATGGTTCAAAGGATGCAGTCTCATAAGCCTGCTGTGAACCAAACCGCCAACTGACAATTATCTGACAATCACATCCATTTCTTGCTATCTCTTTTGTCTAATAAATAGGGAAGGCTGTGTAAAGCTCAGGGCCCTTGTCCAGCAGAGGCAAGGTGCCCCCTGACCCCTTCTTCCAAATATACTCTTTTGTCTCTTGTATTTTATTACCACTTTTGCCCCCTTTGTTCAGTCCAATAGGTCTGCAGCATAGCGGCACCCCCAAGAGCGACAGAATTGGGCAATCGACATGAATGGAACAGAGAAAAGTGTAGGACTTTGACATGGAATAAGATTCAAATCTCAACCCTGCTACTGACTACCTATGCAATCTTGTCTGTGTTGTTTTACTTCTCAGAATTTCAGTTTCCTGAGGCTCCAAGGAAGACGATGGTAATATGTGCTTCTGAAACTGCCTCTATAAACTTTATAAATGTAGGCCAGGCACAGTGGCTCATGCCTGTAATCCCAGCACTTTCGGAGGCTGAGGCTGATAGATCACGTAAGGTCAGGAGTTCACAACCAGCCTGACCAATTGGTGAAACTTTCTCTCTACTAAAAATACAAAAATTAGCCAGGCATGGTGGCATGTGCCAGTAGTTCCAGCTACTCAGGAGGCTGAGACAGGAGAATTGCTTGAACCAGGGAGGTGGAGGTTCCAGTGAGCTGAGATGATGACACTGCATCCCAGCGTGGGAGACAGAGCAAGACTCCATCTCGAAAAATACATAAAATTAATCAGGGAAAGAGGGAAGGAGAAACAAAAAGAAACCAAGCTGGTAGCATGTCCAGCATTCATCATTAAGTCGGCACACTCTCCAATCTGCTTCCTCACAGTTTGGTGCCTATTTTCCTAGAATCACTAGACCCGGATACAAGATTATAGTTTCCCTTAACTGCTCTTTAAATAACAACTCGAACATTATGAAATGTTGTTTTCACTTTGAGATATTCCTTCAGGTCCTGCATACAGATGAAACCACTGATGCAGCTGACCTGAAGGACTCCCCGAGGGGCTACCTCACCAACGTATAGTTTCCAATTTATGATGATTTTATCCTCCTTGACCCAACCCACCAGCAACCCCGGTTTTCCAACCCCTCACTCTCCACAATCCTCTTAAAGCCCCAGGCCAGAACTTCCTGGGAGATGAATTTGAGGGTTTCCTTCCACTTCCTTGCTGGGTACCCTGTGATCATTAAACTCTTTCTTTGCTGCATCCCCGCTGTCTTAGTGTAATTGGTCTATTACTATGCAGTGGGCATACGAACCTGTTGGTCCCATAACATAACCCTTCCTTGGGTGGTCATAAGGACTACAAATACGGGATACCAAGGGCTACTCTAGTGCAAGGTTGCATCTCCTCTGTGCTGTGCAGAGAGGATAATCAATCTCTCTCCAAATGCAGTGTCCCATCTGTATTCAGGAATTCCTACAATTATGAGAAAAATATTACTCTTTGTTGTTATCATTATTTCTCCAGCATTATCCCACCTGACCAATGAAATGGAAGTTGTAGAGAAGAAAGTGGGCGACAAGTCTGTCTGTTTTTGTTTGTTTGTTTGTTCCTTTTTGAGAGAGTGTTGCTCTGTCACCCAAGTTGGAGTGCAGTGACATGATCTTGCCTCACTGCAACCTCCACCTCCTGTGTTCAAGTGATTCTTCAGCCTCAGCCTCCTGAGGAGCTGGGATTACAGGTTCGTACCACCATGCCCAGCTAATTTTTGTATTTTTGTCAAGATGGGGTTTCATCATGTTGGCCAGGCTGGTCTCGAACTCCTGACATCAAGTGATCCGCCTGCCTCGGCCTCCCAAAGTGCTGGGGTTATAGGCGTGAGCAACCACCCCCAACTAAGTCTGTCTGTTTTTAAAGTACAAGAAAGATCCAGAAGAAATTTCCACCAAACGGATAACAATGACTTTTGTTTTTTATATTATACACATCTGTATTGTCTGAATTATTTGATAAAAAGCATTTTTAAATTACTTGTTTGTGATTACTTTATTGTTTTAAGTGAACTGTTCCCTCCACAGTTAGATCAGAACTCATTAAAACCTAAGATCAGAGAACTGAATTGAATAGAGTTTTGCCTCAGGGAAAAGTAAAGAAAAATCTTTTTCCTTGATCCTTTATTCCATATTCTGACTGTGTGTGTGATTATGTAACAGTCATGATTAACTTGATCACCATGACTTGACAAACTGCAGCCTTTAAGACTGACTGAGTCAATAATTGGGAAAGAGATTTTATTTGTTCTGGTGCTGCCAAGTATTATCGACATCTTCTATTTAATGACAAGTGAGTAAATATGTGAGCCACTCTGTGTTTCTGGCACTTTTTTTCTGTTATTCTTACTTTACAAAGACTTTTTATGCCTGCAATTTTATTAACACCTCTAATATCCAAAAGAAACAGAGTGATTCTATAACAAGATATTTTAAAAGAAAATACAAAAAAAGACAAGCAGAATGAGATATGTAACTCAATACTGTTTCTATACATTAAAAGTATATGCCCACAGTGCACATTATGTAAGAACATGGGAAAAAAAACCACAAAACTCTTTGCACATCAAACAAATCACAGTAGTTACCTACAGTAGGAGAAGAAAAGCAGGGAATAGAGTTATTTTTTTGTTGTTGTTGTTTTTTGTTTTTGGAGACTGGATCTCACTTAAACACCTAGGCTAGAGTGCAGTGCCACAATCGCAGCTCGCTGCAGCCTCCACCTCCCAGGTTCAAGATATGCTGCCCAGGCAAGTCTTGAATGCTTGGCCTCAAGTGGTCCTTTTGTCTTGGATTCCCAAAGTGCTAGGATTACAGTCGTGAGCCAAAGAACCCAGCCTGGGAATGGAATTTTGTTTTGTTTTATTTTAAGTTACATAAATTAATAAGGGAGAGAGAGTGAGTGAGAAAGAAAGAATTTGGCAGCCCAGTGGGGATAAAGTGCAACAAACTCTGATGAGTATGAAGAATTCAACTCTCAGCATTTTGTTTTTAGGGTCCATCCAAGTCACTTTATGTACATCGATCCCAGTGCTTCTGATGCTGCATATACCCCATGGTATGCATCCACCACACTTGGTCCACACATTGTTATGGGTTGGACTGTGTCTTCCCCAATTTCATGTGTTGAAGTCTCCAAGTACCAGTACTCACAGTGTAACTGTATTTGGAGATAGGGCCTCTCAAGAGGTAATTACGGTTAAATGAGGCCATATTAGTGAGCCCTAATCCATTTGACAGTATTTGAAGACAAGGCCTTGGAAGACGTGATTAAGCTAAACTGAGGCTGACAAGTGGGGCTCTAATCCAATATGACAGGTACCCTCACAAGGAGAGACATTGAGCCCGGTGTGGTGGTGGGCCTGTAATCCCAGCTTCTAGGGAGGCTGAAGGAGGATCACTTGAGCCCAGGAGTTCAAGGCTGCAATGAGCTGTGATACCCACCACTGCACTCCAGCCTGGGTGACAGAGCCAGACCTCAAAATAATTAAAATTAAGTAAATAAATTAAAGACATTGAATCTACATAATGACTGGGAGTTAGGCATTGTTCTTATCCCCATCTTGCTGATGGCTGAACTGAGTGAGGCAAAGAGAATGTAAGTAAGTCTTTGAAAGCTACACAACTAGTAAGTGGCAGGCGCAGGCTTCGAACCTGCAGCCGTCTAATACCAACCACTTAGCTTCACGTTCAACCCCTGCCTCATACCGCCTCTCCTTGCAGAGGCCAGATCAAGGCCTGATGTTTGCTAGGATGTGATGTGTGGGGTGCCTCAGTGGCAAGAACGCTCACTCCTGCCTGGGGGCGTCTGGCAAGGGTTCCTAGAGGTGACCTTGAATTGGCTCCTGGAAGGCGAGTAGGTGTTCAGCTGGCATACTGGGGACGGACATGCAGAGTGTCTGCACCCCAGCCCTGGGCGAAAGCTTGCACTCCTTGCAGGAGCCCGGGAATCGGAACCAGCACCGGGGGCTGATTAGGGCTGCGGCCGCCCCAGGCCCTGCCTTTGGCCCCTTCTGGCCTGCCGGGCACCCTTCGGCTCGTTCCCCCACGGGGCATATTTCCGCAGGGCTCCAAATTAGGACCCCAGGCGCAGGTCCAGTGTCACCTGGACAAAGCTCTGTTAGGGGTTTTACTATCAGAAGTCCCCAACGCCCCTACACACACAAACACATACACACATGCACACGCACGCGCGCTTATGCACACACACACACACATATGCGCGCACACACACACGCACACACACGCGCGCGCACATGCACATAGGCACACACAGATAAGCACACACACACACACAAACGCACTCAGATTCCCCGGACCCTGGTTTTCCTCCTGAGACCTTTTCGGGGCGGGGCTCTCACCCTTCAGAAGCAGCCCCGCCTTGCAGTGGCCCCACCCTCTCCTGGGACCTGTCATAAAGCGGTCCTCGGGCGCCCGGCCGCGCAGTCCCAGCCGCCTTCCCCAGGCAGTGGAACCCTCAGGCTCCTGTAAGTAGACCTCCTGTTTTCTTTCCTTCGCTTTTCTCCCTCCCTTAACCCCCTTGCTTTCTTCCTGCCAAGTTTCTAGACGCCCCAGTGGAGGAGGTTTGCGCTTAGCCCTCCTCCCCTTACGCCGAAATGACCGCTGGGTCTTGCACTCCGAGGATCTTGGGAGTCGATGTCCGGACGCCTCCCGGCCCTGCAGTTCCTTGGAGAGTTTGGAGACGCGCGCAGGAGGGAATAGGAAAGCTTGGTTACAATCCGGGACACCCGGCAGCTGCCTGCACCCGGCAAGGGGCTGGCCAGGGAACTTGTGGGACCGCACAACTCGGCGAGGGTAGAAGAAGATCGGGGTGGGGATTTGGGAATGGGCACGCAGGCGGTGGGTGACGAGTGGCGGGCGGCGGGGGTGGGAGCAAAGGGCGAGCGGGCAAAGGCCGGTCGCCGCGCCAGGCCCCCTCCTCGGGCGGACGAGACCTTCCCGGGACCTCGCCCCTCTGGGGCCAGACCCTTTCCAGAAGGGCTTCTGGACTTGTAGCGAGTTTGGAATGCCCAGCGGTTGCTTTTTAGGAAAAACGGACAAAGATGTGTGGACACTTAAAAAGTTCAACTCGTAGAAGTAACGACTAGAATGATGGTTGCCAGAGGCTGGGAGCGGGTTCGCGGGTGAATGGGAGCTTGTTGGTCAAAGGGTACGAAGTTCAGAGACGAGAGGAGTAGGTTCTGAGATCTGTTGCACTGCAGGGTGACTAGAGCCAATAATGTGTATTTCAAAATAACTAAGAGCAAACTTCAAATGTCTCATCATAAAAGTCATACTTAGGATCGGGCGCGGTGGCTCACGCCTGTAATCGCAGCACTTTAGGAGGTCGAGGCGGATCATTAGAGCTCAGGGGTTCTAGACCAGTCTGGCCAATATGGGGAAACCCCGTCTCTACTAAAAATACAAAAATTAGCCGGGCGTGGTGGCGGGCGCCTGTAATCCCAGCTACTCAGGAGGCTGAGACAGGAGAATCCCTTGAACCCGGGAGGCGGAGGTTGCAATGAGCTGAGATGGCGCCATTGCACTCCAGCCTGGGCGACAGAGCGAGACTCCGTCACCAAAAAAAAAAAAAAAAAGAAAAAAGAAAGAAAGAAAAAAAAAGTCTTTATTAAAAAAGAAAAAACAAGAAGGAACAACCCCGGGCTGCAGATCGGACCGCCCCCCTGGCTCCCGGCCACCTGTGTCCCCTCCCCGCGGCACCGGTGGGGAGCTGGGGAGGTCGGCGGCAGCTCCAGAATGTTTTGATACTGGATTGTTTGTAGCGGATGCACACGCGGGAAGGCGCGGGTCCCAAGTGACTCGGCCGAGTTCAGTCCAAGCAGAACGTCCTGAACCCCCAGCTCGGGGCAGCTTTCATCATCTTCCCTTGCTTTGGTGTAGAGTTTAAGCGCAAAATCGATTTGATGTGGAGTTTAAACTCAAATCCCTCCTGGGCCAAAGAAAATTCGCATCCAATGGCTGAGTTCAAGTGGCTCACACCTGGAATCCCAGCACTTTGGGAGGTGGAGGCGGGCGGATCGCCTAGGCAACACAGTGTGGCTCCTCTCTACAAGAAAGAGAGAGAAAAGTATTAAAAATAATAATAATAAATGAAAACAAACAAACAAAAAAACCGCACCTGAAAATGGAGCGGAGCAGCGGCGCCCCCCGGTGGTTTTCGGGAGTTCTGAGACTGCCTTGAAATGCCTGGCTCCTTCTTTCTGAAAGAGGTGCATGGACTTCTTTCTATGGGGTTCTTTGTGTTTGATGCTTTTTCTTAGAATTCACTCCATGTGAAATGAGAAGCGGAATGGAATATTCGCACTCCCCGTAACTGTTCAGTGCCATAAAGAAACTCCAGCCTAGCAGTGGCTGGGAAGAATTTCTTTGCGGATTTATATTTTTTCCTTGTCTTGAAGATTTCTTTAAACCTCAGTTTCCTCATCCGTACACTGGCAATGATACTAATGTCTTTCTTATAGTGAAGTTATAAGGATAAAATAAGGTAATCTGTATGAAGTGCTTAGCACAGCACCAGAAACATAGTAAATATTAAATGAATGTGGATGACGTTATCTGATAATGATGGGATTTGAGGATATTGTAGTTGTGCTATCTGGGCTCAGTTTGATGGCGAGGGAACTGTTAGAATGCATGGCAGTTGACTGCATATTTACTGTGTTCTAGGAGCTTCAGGATGGTTCGTACTAAGATATGGACCCTGAAGAAGCACTTTGTTGGCCATCCTACTAACAGTGACTTTGAGTTGAAGACAGCTGAGCTACCACCCTTAAAAAATGGAGGTAAGCCATACTAAAAATATTTCAGAGTTGGAAGGGACTGTATCAGTTAGCTTTTGCTGCATAGCAAACTACCCCAAAGTCTAGTGACTTTAAGCAACAAGGTGTATTAGTTCACAAATCTTTGGGTTGGCCATCTGGGCTGAGTTAAGCTGGGTAGTTCTTCTTAGGTCTCATCTGGGATAAATGGTGAATTTAGGATGGGCCTTGCTCACATGTCTGCTGGTTAGCAGGCTTTCTCTTGGGGTGCATGCCTTAGTTCTCATCTATGTGGCCTTTCTAGTAGGCTAGTTTGAGTTCTTTTCTTATAGTGGTAAGAACATTGGCAAGCTCCAATGGGCAAGCACTTTCTTTTTCTTTTTTTGAAACAGAGTCTTGCTGTGTTGCCCAGGTCGGAGTACATTGGCATGATCTTGGCTCATTGCAACCTCTGCCTCCCAGGTCCAAGTGAGTCTCCTGCCTCAGCCTCCTGAGTAGCTGGGATTACAGGTATGCGCCACAACGCCCGGCTAATTTTGTATTTTTAGTAGAGACAGAGTTTCACCATGTTGGCCAGGTTGGTCTCGAACTCCCGACTTCAGGTGATCCACCTGCCTCAGCCTCCCAAAGCGCTGGGATTACAGGCGTGAGCCACAGTGCCTGGCCTTAATGTTTGTATTTTTAGGAGAGATGGTGTTTCCCCATCTTTGCCAGGCTGGTCTTGAACTCCTGCCCTCAGATGATCAGCTCGCCTCGACATCCCAAAGTGCTGGGATTAAAGGTGTGAGCCACCACGCCCCACTGTGCAAGTGCTTTTCAAGCCTCTACCTGTGCCACATTTGCCAATATCCCACGGTGAAAGCAAATCACAAAACCAGCTCAGATTTGAGAGGCAGAAAATAGATTTCTTGATGGGAGAAATGGCAAGGAGACCAGCACACAAGGGTGGGACTTATTTGTGGCCATTTCGTAAATGCCACACAGACCTTTCCAGGGTTTTCTGTGTGAAGCCTCGATGTCACGTGGCAGGATTCCCCTGCTTTCATTGATAATTGAAATTCATGCTTGAGTGCATTA